TGGGGGTGGAGGGAAGGAGCAGGCAGGACAGATGAGAGCTTAGGTTGGGGTCAGTACCATTTCTGTACCGTGTGCTTCTCCAGCCCCCACTTTCCATTCAAGAAAAGGTGTTTTTTCAGAAGTTGGGGGAGGAAGAAGGTCAGGAGGACATTAGTGAACAAGCTGAATTGTTTCTGGAGTTGAGATATGTCTTACTCATCTTTATTTCACCAGCTTCTAGCAAATACCCGGAACACCAGATGAAGAGTGAATCCTTCAATTTAGAATCCAGAAGCATCTCAAAATTCTGGATCTCATTAACTAGTAAGAGATATGTTAGTGAATAAGGAAGCTAGTACAGTTGACCCTTGAACAACTCGGGGGTCAGGGCACTGACACTCGTCGCCCTAAGCAGTCAAAAGTCCTCATACAACTTCTGACTCCCCAGAAACTTAACTACAAATAGCCTATTGTTGATTGGAAGCCTTAACAGTCAACCTCCAGTTAACATACTTTGTGAGTTATGTGTATTGTAAGTCATACAATAAAGTAAGTTAGAGAAAAGGAAATATTATTAAGAAAATCATAAAGAAGAGAAAATATATTTACTTTTCGTAGGTGGAAGTAGATCGTCGTAAAGGTCTTCATCCTTGTTCTCACCTTGAGTAGTCTGAGGACGAGGAGGAAGAGGAGGGGTTGGTCTTGCTGTCTCAGGGCTGGCAGAGGAGGAAGAGGTGGGGGAAGTGAGAGGGGAGGCAGGAAATGTGGGCATACCCCGTGTCACTTTCACTGAAAAAAATCTGCATATAAATGAACTCTTGTAGTTCAAACTATTGTTCAAGAGTCAGCTGTAATTATTCTTGATATCTTTTGAAGATGTTTTCTTTACCTACCAATCTCACTTTTTTAAATAATAACTTTTCTTGAGATAATTCATATAACATACAATTCACCTATTTATAGCATACAATTTATTGGTTTTTATTATATTCTCAGAGTCGTGCAATTATCACCACAATTTGCTAATGTTTTCATCACTCCAAAAAGAAACCCCATCATTAGCAGCCACTGTCCATTTTCCCAACCCCGTCTCACAGCCTAAGGTGACCACCACTTTTCTATCTAATCTACTTTTCTATTTCTATAGATTTGCCTCTTCTGACATCTCATATAAGTAGAATTATACAATGTGTGGCCTTTTGCGCCTGGCTTCTTTCACTTAGCACAGGGTTTTTAATGTTTATCCTTGTTTTTTGTGGGGTTTTGGAGGGTTTTTTGTTTGTTTGTTTTTGAGACAGAGTCTTACTCTGTTGCCCTGGCTAGAGTGTAGTGGCATCAGCATAGCTCACTGCAGCCTCAAATTCCTAAGCTCAAGTGGTCCGCCTGCCTCAGCCTCCCAAGTAGCTGGGACTACAGGTGTGTATCACCACATCTGGCTGATTTTTCTATTTTTTGAAGAGATGGGGGTCTCACTGTGTTGCTCAGGCTGGTCTTGAGCTCCTGGCTTCAAGCAATCCTCCTCCCGCCTTGGCCTCCCAAAGTGCTGGGATTGCAGGCATGAGCTACCATACCTGGCAGATGTTCATCCATGTGGTAGCACATATTAGTACAGTTGGCCCTCCGTATCTATGAGTTCCTAATCCATGGATTCAACCAATATGGATTGAAAACATTTTTTAAAAAAAATTATAACTGTATTGAACATGTACAGACTTTTGTCATTATTCCCTAAACAATACAGTATAACAACTATTTACAAGCATTTACATTGTATTAGATATTAAAAGTAATCTAGGGATATTTTAAAGTATATGGGAGGATGAGTGCAGGTTATATTGAAATACTACACCATTTTATATAAGGGACTTTAGCATCCATGGATTTTGGTATCCAAGGGAGGTCCC